TCACCATGTTGACAAGGATGGTCTCGATCTCTTGACCTTGTGATCCGCCAGCCTCGGCCTCCCAAAGTGCTGGGATTACAGGCTTGAGCCACCGCGCCCGGCCTATTTCTTTATTATTTATATGGTAAATATACCTTCATGTGTTTAAAAGCCAAAAACACAGCCGTGGGGGTGGGGGGGGAAGGATCACTTCAGGTCAGGAGTTTGAGACCAGCCTGGCCAACATGGCAAAACCTGTTTCTGCTAAAAATACAAAAACTAGCCAGGCATGGTGGAATATGCCTGTAGTCCCAGCTGCTCGGAAGGCTGAGGAAGGAGAATCGCTAGAACCCAAGAGGTAGAGGTTGCAGTGAGCTAAGATCACGCCACTGCATTCCAGCCTGGGCAACAGAGCAACACTTCATTTCAAAAAAAAAAAAAAAAAAAAAAAAAAAAAAAGCCAAAAATAGTCTTTCTTTTAAAAATTACCAACTAAGATCTTCTGTGAATTCTATTTATTTTACTAATATAAGAGCCTTAGGTATTTTAGAAATATTATCAGCCAGGTGTAGTAGTTCATGCCTATACCACATAATCCCAGCATTCTGCGAGCTATGGTTAGGGGATCTCTTGAGCTCAGGAGTTCAAGACCAGTCTGACTGGGGAACACAGCAAGACCTCACCTCTAGTAAAATTTTAAAAATTAGCCAGGTGTAGTGGTGTGTGCCTGTAGTCCCAGCTACTCAACTGTCTGAGACAGGAAGATCACTTGAGCCTGGGAGATGGAGGCGGTTCCACTGCACTCCAGCCTTGGCGATAGAGCAAGAGTATGTATCAATAAAAAAAAGAAGTAAATGAAAAAAGGTTAAAATTCTCCCTGTCTTCTCTTTTGAAAAATAATAAAATTTAAAAAAAATTACTCATTTGATATCATGATGTAAACATATTTTCTCCCATTTTGTTGTTTTCACTTTGCTTATGCTGCTTGTTGGCAGTGTAATTTTTAGTTGGTTTAACTTTCATTTTAGCAAGTCAAATTTAACTAAATCTTAGCCCCATTTATGTTAGAATATTAAAGACATAAACGTAAAGGCTCAGTCCCAATTAGTTTTAGATCCAAACAATCAAAATCACCACTCCACTACTGACAATCATTTAGAATTAGTCATCTGGTTCTAATTAGAGAAAAGAAAAGAATGCAGGTACCCACTAGTTACCTATACATTCAATTAACAGTAGTCTACTCTCCAAACCACATACAGATTGAGTTTGTTATATGAAATCCTTGGGACCAGCCGTGTTTCAGTATTTGGGTTTTTTTTCAGATTTTGGAAAAATACAAACTGGTTTAGCATGCCAAATCTGAAAATGCAAAATCCAAAATGTTCCAATTAACACTCCTCCTTTGTTTTTGTTTTTGTTTTTTCTTTTTTCTTCTTTTTCTTTTTTTCTTTTTTTTTCTTTTTCTCTTTTCTTTTTTTTTTTTCTTTTTCTCTTTTCTTTTTTTTTGAGATGGAGTTTCGCTCTTGTTACCCAGGCTGGCGTGCAATGGCGCGGTCTCGGCTCACTGCAACCTCCGCTTCCTGGGTTCAGGCAATTCTCCTGCCTCAGCCTCCTGAGTAGCTGGGATTACAGGCACGCGCCACCATGCCCAACTGATTTTTTGTATTTTTAGTAGAGACGGGGTTTCACCATGTTGACCAGGATGGTCTCGATCTCTGGACCTCGTGATCCACCCGCCTCGGCCTCCCAAAGTGCTGGGATTACAGGCTTGAGCCACCGCGCCCGGCCCAACACTCCTCCTTTGAATGTCATGTTGATGTTCAAAAATTTCAGATTTTAGAGCATTCTGGATTTTCAAATTAGGAACAAATCAATCAGTAGGTACACAGTTCCCCCAGGTTGTATGATTAGACTTTTGACTTGATTTTTTAAAATAATATTCCATTTTCCCATTGGGATCCCACTCCTGCTCTAAACCCCAAACTACTTGGCTGGTTACTTGACAGCCCGTTCCTCTTCTGAAGGATGGACCCTTTCCTACGGTTTCACTGTTATCTGGAAACCTAACTCAAAATAAGCAAAACTCAAAAAAATACTAGCGCCACCTGATGGCTCATTATCATCACTACCTAGAGACTTCCGTTACCAGGGCCCACCCACTTTCTGGATACTGACCTAAATTTACTAAGCCACCTTGAGCATTGTAATTTGTACTGCCAGTCAAATGACCTGAGCAGAAGCTCACATAGAATAGTAAATAAACCAAATGTAATGTATTATTCCTTTATTTTACTGGGAATCTGTTCTTCCTGTTTACTTCTTTTCCCCCACCAGCCATTTACAGCTGCTGGCATACTTCATGGTACAAGGCGGCCTGGTTTATGAAAATTAGCATTAACAATGTCATAAGCACAATCACTAGAATTCTAACTTCTGTGAATGTCACAAACAAAGCCAAGTGAAAGAAAACAGTTTAAAAGGATACCTTTTAATAACATGAAGGAAAAAAAATTCAAAACAATATATCTATACAACTATATCCTATCATTATTCCAGTACTTCATGGAATAAAAAATTTGCCTATATAATTTCCTTGAGTAGCCCACAAAATGTTTATCACTCCTTTCCTTAACTACCATTGTATTAATGAAAGACATCTGACGTCAATGACCAAAACTACAGCATTAATGCTTAGAGCTAGGTTATATTACTTAACTTTTTCATTTTCTTTAATCTAAAATCTTCAAGTTCTAAGTAATTATTATTATTTTTTTTGGAGACAGTCTTGCCTACTGCCCAGGCTGGAGTGCAGTAGTATGATTTCGGCTCACTGCAACCTCCGCCTCCTGGGTTCAAGTGATTCTCCTGACTCAGCCTCCCAAGTAGCTGAGATTACAGGCATGCACCACTATGCCTGGCTAAGTTTTTGTATTTTTAGTAGAGATGGGGTTTCACCATGCTGGCCAGGCTGGTCTCGAACTCCTGACTTCAGGTATCTGCCGGCCTCAGCATCCCCAAGTGCTGGGATTACAGGCATGAGACACCACGCCCGGCCCATAAGTAATGTTCATACCCCAGGGCATTCCCATGCAAAAAAAAAAAAAAAAACTTTTTAATTAAAAATATCAAATCAGGCCAAGCACAATAGCTCACACCTGTAATCTCAATATTTTGGGAAGCCGAGGTTGGTGGATCACCTGAGGTCAGGAGTTTGAGACCAGCCTGACCAACACAGCAAAACCCCATCTCTACTAAAAATAGAAAATTAGCCAGGCATGCCTGTAATCCCAGCTACTCGGGAGGCTGAGACAGGAGAATCACTGAACCTGGGAGCCAGAGGTTGCAGTGAGATGACGCCATTGCACTCCAGCCTGGCAACAGAGTGAAACTCCGTCTCAAAAAAATAAAAATAAAAAAAGTCAGATCAACAGCCAGAAAAAAAAAAAAAAAAACCTATATGCTGACCACAGCATGTACTTAGCAAAGACCATACCCTTAAAGAAATAGAGCACAAATTCACCTTCAATTCCTTAACAACCTACAAACTATACTGTATTGGAGCTGATTTTATGAAGTATCAAAGTATTACCACTCTGGACCAGAAAAAAGTACCTAGAAAGGACATCATTAGGTTTTCAACTAGTGGCGATTTGCCCTACACCAGGAGACACCTTTGGTTGTCACACTAGAAGGAGGAGGAGGACCACAAGCTAGTGGCTAGGGATGCTGCTAAATATCCTATAATGTACATAATAGCCCCCGACAACAAAGAATTATCTGGCCCATAATGTCCACAATAATAAGGTTGGGAAACCTGGGACAAATGATGAAATCTGAATATGAACTGCATTTTATCAACGTTAAATTTCCTGAATTTAATATTTTTTCTGTGGCTTCATAAAACAATAGCCTTGTATATACATCAGAGTACTTAGGAATAAAGGAACATGTCTTAACCTACAACTGACTCAGAAAAACATAATATGTCTACATGTAGTAGGAAAGAATGAATCATAAAGTAACAGGGCAATATGCTAATAACTGGTTAATCTGAGTAGAGTATATGCAGAAATTTTCTTTTATTATTCTTACAGTTTAAAACTGTACCAAAATTAAAAGTTAAACAAGTATTATCATGCCCATAAATTTATCTTACCTAGGAAACTTTGCACAATTTCCCAATACATATGTGCAATATAGCAAATCAGCTTTTACTCCTTTCTCAAAATAAATTACCCTATCTTGAATAGATACTTGCAAATTGAACCCAAATAACTCAAGTAAGCTAAAAGTATATTTTCTAAAATGTGAACTGCACAAAGTTAGAAATGCTTAGATGTCTACCAAGGACATGACATACTATTGCATATTACAGTAAATTCATAGCCAATATCCCTGTGTTGTATATTTTGGGCTTTCAGTACACACTGAAAACTGAAATCATTTAGAACCACGTAAGATGTGAACATGATCAGTGCAAAAGGATATACAAGAAATAATACCAAAATATTTTTTAAGACTCAGATTTTCTTGGCCGGGCGCGGTGGCTCAAGCCTGTAATCCCAGCACTTTGGGAGGCCGAGGCGGGTGGATCACAAGGTCAAGAGATCAACACCAACCTTGGTCAACAAGGTGAAACCCCGTCTCTACTAAAAATACAAAAAATTAGCTGGGCATGGTGGTGCATGCCTGTAATCCCAGCTACTCAGGAGGCTGAGACAGGAGAATTGCCTGAACCCAGGAGGCGGAGGTTGCGGTGAGCCGAGATCGCGCCATTGCACTCCAGGCTGGGTAACAAGAGCGAAACTCCGTCTCAAAAAAAAAAAAAAAAAAAAAAAAAAGACTCAGATTTTCTTAACATTAGTTCTCAATTTTTGAATTTTATCATTCCTATTTTTGGGCAATTATTACTTAAACAGCATGCAACAAATTACAATAACAGCTTCATAAATAACAGTTTACTTCTGGAAGACAAGTCTTTTAAATTTGTAAATCCAGGAAAAATTTAGGGAACTTACAGATGTTTGGGACATACTTGACTGTTGTGTGACACTTCCTGTAGGAGATGTAGATGGTCTTCCACTGGACAAACTTGCCTAAAATAGTAACACTTTTATAATACGTCGGTAAAAACCTCAAGTTAAGAACTTTCTGGTACCATGGTAACACAAAACCACAACAATAAATGTCAAAAGGGGTATGTATGAAACAACTCATTTTACAGTCAACATGGCTTAAGCTTTGGTTAAACAGATTTTTTAAATAAGAAAAAGCTGAATGGTGAAAATAGGGGATCCAAAGACTAATTTTATTAGCTACTTTATTGTCAGTTCCACTTTATGGGTCTGTGTCATCTTTAAAGTGGAATCACTACTCCATGTTATGAAGAAAAAGAGCTACAAGAGTCAACAAGAGTCAGTGGGTTTCAGTTTCCTAACTTGTATCATGAAAATGTTATTTAAAATTACACTACTAAGAAGCAACAGCTGAGGATCTGTTGGTAACAGAAATAAACCTTTTTCAGGTTCAGTCAACTGAGATTCTCCTCTAGTGAGGAGATTTAAGATTAAATCTTACACAGTTTTATTTAAATAGTACAATAATAACAAAAGTATTTTTTAAAAACAAGCATTTAATAATGAAATCCTGTTATCAGTAGGAATAACGTAATTAGATTTTAGAAAGATGGATTTACACGTCTTTGTATAGAAAATTTATGGAGAAATACGTATTAAATTGTTACAGTGGCCACCACCTCTGAAGAATGAGAAACAGTGGTAGGCAGGGAAAAGGAACAGCTTTATCTCTTATAAGCAATTTAATAGTTTGATCTTTTTAATGAGCATAAATACATCATTTTTTAATCTTATTTTTAGTAAAAATATAATTTATGTAAGCCTAAGTATTCACTGTTGTACCTAGAACTTTATACACCTAACCAAGCCACCAGCATAGCATTTCTCCAATTTGGATAAAAACCACTGAGATAAAAGCTAGAAACAGAATAACATTAAAAACATATTCCCTTTTTCTCAGTTGGCAATCTATTAATATATTTCCTTCAGGAAAAATAACCACAGGCATCTGAGAATTCTGAAACAATACCCAATGTATTTATTTTCAGTAACTACCTACAGATAACAGAAACTTTGGTCTCATAAATTCTTCACTTATTTCAGTCTTACCTGAACGGCAGCAAGGCTCTGAAGCTGGCTGCTGCTTAAATGCTGCTGCTGAAGAGCTGCAGTATGCAGCATCAGGTGCTGCTGTTGGGCTGCATACATTTGCTGAAGATACTGAGCAGCTGAGCTGGGGGGCCGATGCAATGCCTGTTGAATCACCTGTGATAGGTCAATTGAACCAATGTCAAACCATAAACTCAACCTTCATCTTAATCAGAAAATGAAAGAACAAAAAAGTGGCAGTTTAAAATTTCACTGCTTTGACACATAATATCATCAAGCTTATTAACATACTTCTTTCCTAGTTACATGTGACTAGGAACCACTAACTTGTATGCATTAAAACTACCCAGCAGGACAAACATGGTGGCTCACGCCAGTAATCCCAACCCTTTGGGAGGCTGAGGTGGGTGGATCACAACGTCAGGCAATCTAGGCAATCCTGGCTAACACAGTGAAACCCCATCTCTACTAAAAATACCAAAAATTAGCTGGGCATGCTGGCACGTGCCTGTAGTCCCAGCTACTGGGAAGCTGAGACAAAAGAACTGCTTGAATCCAGTAGGCGGAGGCTGCAGTGAGCCGAGACTGTGCCACTGCACTCCAGCATGGGCAGCAGAGCGAGACTCTGTCTCCAAAACAAAACCAAAAACCCAGTGGACAATTCACAAAAGACAGGCCAAATAAGCATGTCAAAAGATTTTCAATCTCATCAGTAGTCAAAAACTTACAAATTAAAACAAGATACTATTTTCCAACTTTCAGATGGATAAAGATTTAAAAAAATACTACTAACTGGGGAAACCAATACTCCCGTACTGCTAGTAAAAATTTAAGTTGGCAAGGCCAGGCATGTGGCTCACATCTGTAATCCCAGCACTTTGGGAGGCTGAGGCAGGTGGATCACAAGGTCAAGAGATCAAGGCCATCCTGGTCAACATGGTGAAACCCCATTTCTACTGAAAATGCAAAAAATTAGCTGGGCATGGTGGCGCGTGCCTGTAGTCCCAGCTACTCAGGAGGCTGAGGCAGGAGAATTGCCTGAACCCAGGAGGCGGAGGTTGCGGTGAGCCGAGATCAAGGCATTGCACTTCAGCCTGGGTAACAAAAGCGAAACTCCACCTCAAAAAAAAAAAAATTTAAGTTGCCATAAGTTTTTTGGATAAAACATGGTAGAATTCAGGGCTTGGGTGTGGAGAGAAATACCTTTACCATACAGCCATTACGAACAGTAATGTAAATCAGTGCTGTCCTATACAGGAGCCACTAGTCACATGTGCCTACTAAAAATGTGATTGGTGCAACTAAGTAAGTTAAATTTTAAATTGAACTTTAATTTTAATTTTAATGTAAATAGCCACATGTAACTAGCGGCCACTAAAAACTAGAAAACTACACGTTGTTGATCCAGATCTATATTTACTAACAAAAAAAACACAGATTACAAAACAGTATGTATCATTTTTACATTAAATATTTGAAAGACTACACAAGAAAACTTTCAAAGGGAACTGATGGGTAGCTAGATTAGAGGTGATTTTTAGCTTCTAGTTCATACTTTTCTATAAATGTCTGAATATCTTACAATGAGTAGATATTTATTAATTATCACATAAAATTATAAAGCGGCTGGGCACGGTGGCTCATGCCTGTAATCCTAGCACTTTGGGAGGCCAAGACAGGCAGATCACCTGAGGTTAGGAGTTCAAGACCAGCCTGGCCAACATGATGAAACCCCAACTCTACTAAAAATACAAAAATTAGCCCAGCATGGTGGCATGCACCTGTAATCCCAGCTACTCAGGAGGCTGAGGTGGGAGAACTGCTTGAACCCAGGAAGCAGAGATTGCAGTGACCAGAGATCACACCACTCCACTCAAGCCTCGACAACAGAGCAAGACTCCGTCTCAAAAAGTAGAAATAAAATAATTATAGTTATTTTAGAAAATTAATAATTATATTTTAAAAATTTTTAAATGTCAAATACCCTGTTTTGTTTCAATGTTGAATACAACTATACTTCCTTAAAAAATTCCTATGCTTCAGGTGATGGAGGCTTGGATACTAAAAAAAAAAAAAAAAAAAAAAAAACAGAAAAAAGAAAAAAGATTCCTTAAAAAGTATTATTGTGAATATTAGTAAAATGTCAAATCTGAGCCTGAAACTTCATAAATAAATATAGAAATGTCAGGCCGGGCACAGTGGCTCAAGCCTGTAATCCCAGCACTTTGGGAGGCCGAGGCAGGTGGATCACGAGGTCGAGAGATCGAGACCATCCTGGTCAACATGGTGAAACCCCGTCTCTACTAAAAAAAAAAAAAAAAAAAAAAAAAAAAAAAAATTAGCTGGGCATGGTGGTGTGTGCCTGTAATCCCAGCTACTCAGGAGGCTGAGGCAGGAGAATTGCCTGAACCCAGGAGGTGGAGGTTGCAGTGAGCAGAGATCGCGCCATTGCACTCCAGCTTGGGTAACAAGAGCGAAACTCCGTCTCAAAAAAAATATATATATATATATAGAAATGTCAAGTACTCTACTAAAATCAGAGAAAATTGCTACACTTGTCCAAATGGTAAGTCAGGATAAGTCAATCCTACACAATCACATCCAAAAGTCATAGTGTGCTGCTCCCTGTGACTCTGAAACAGCACAGTATCCTAATCTCAGCATCAAATCAGTTTTCAAAGAGCTAAGGGAGTAATAGAGCCATAATCCTCTAGCTTAAGGGTCTAAATCAGGATGTCTTGAACCGTAATCCTTTTATCTAAATTTCAAGAAAGCATATTTCTGTGTTATTGTTTACTTTCATGTGTTAATATCTCATCTCTCTAGCTACAGACTGCTATGCCTGATACAAATTTCTATCACAAAATCAATGAGAGCTTTTGACCCCTACCTGCAGGGGACTATAGGCCAGATTAAGTGATTCAGAATTATAACAATATATCTTTTTTAGTAAGATCAATCTCTAATTGTTCTTCTAATTCCATAACAAAATTCTAAAATCATTGGACTTGGCAGTTACATGGAAAAAAAATTCTAAGATCAAACTGAAATAACAAACAATCTATTTGATACATATTTTTGTCACGGTATAGTCATTTTTTTCTGTTGTCAGCAGTCTTTCACTACCATTCAATGCTATACTCATAGCACTGAGTAAACACAAGTTGTAGGTACAGCACATTGTTCTTATTTATTATAAATTCGTATTCACCCAAGGAGGGTGAAGAGAATTCCTAGGACTGAAAAATAAAGCTGGAAGATTAAAGAATTAGGTAGTTCAATAAATATTGATTCGATTGCATTTTGGGAGAAGGAATTCTGTGGTCTCCTAAGAACAAGAGTTAGTAATGAGACATACCTACATCTATATAGCTTTCTATTTACTTTTTATTAATCTATGCAGTTTAATTGAAAACTAGAGAACAAAATGGTATATTAAGCTATCACTTCTCAGTCAGGTGTGGTGGCTCATCCCAGCACTTTAGGAGGCCAACGCAGGAGGTCAGAAAGGTCAAGACCAGCCTGGGCAACATAGCGAGATTCTCTCTACAAATTACAAAAATTAGCCAAGCATAGTGGCATGTGCCTATCGTCTCAACTACCCAGGAGGCTGAAGCAAGAGGGCTACTTGAGCCCAAGGGGTCAAGGCTGTAGTGAGCAGTGATCGTGTCACTGGATCCAGCCTGGGCAAGAGAGAGAGACTGTCAAAAACAAAACAACAATGAAAAAAAACTATCACCTATATGCTTAAAGATCTAAATCTTGGCAAGGCACAGGGTGGCTCACACCTGTAATCCAAGCACTTTGGGAGGCCAAGGCAGGTGGATCACGAGGTCAAGAGTTCAAGACCAGCCTGGCCAATATGGTGAAACCCCATCTCTACTAAAAATACAAAAATTAACTGGGCCTGGTGGCACCTGTAGTCCCAGCTGCTCAGGAGGCTGAAGCAGGAGAATTGCTTGAACCGGAAGGCAGAGGTTGCAGTGAGCCAAGATTATACCACTGCACTCCAGCCTGGGTGACAAAGCAAGACTCCATCTCAAAAAAAAAAAAAAAGGCCGGGCGCGGTGGCTCAAGCCTGTAATCCCAGCACTTTGGGAGGCCGAGGCGGGTGGATCACGAGGTCGAGAGATCGAGACCATCCTGGTCAACGTGGTGAAACCCCGTCTCTACTAAAAATACAAAACATTAGCTGGGCATGGTGGTGCGTGCCTGTAGTCCCAGCTACTCAGGAGGCTGAGGCAGGAGAATTGCTTGAACCCAGGAGGCGGAGGTTGCAGTGAGCCGAGATCGCGCCATTGCACTCCAGCCTGGGTAACAAGAGCGACACTCTGTCTCAAAAAAAAAAAAAGATCTAAATCCTCTTCCCTATATCCCTTGCCTCAGAGAAAGGTAAAAAAAAAAACATCAAAAGCTCTCTCTGCATTCAAGTTTGAATTACTGGTGAACTGGCTGGTTCCACTCCACAGTGACTTCAGAAAACTAAACCCTAAAACCATAAACCCTAAACCATAAAACAGTTAAATAGATATTATACTGGAGTATCCACCATACAAAAATGGAACAGAGGTAGGACTATATTGCAAGCAGTGGTTTTCAGGGTAGATGCAATTATAAGGATTCTAGTGAATAAAACAGGTATAATAGAAAAAATAAGAATTCACAGAGTGCTTAAGAGCACAAAGGCTGAAGTCTGAGAACTAGCTAAGTGAGTTTGGGAAAGTTATTTAGCCAATTTAAAACATTTACTTTCCCATCGGTAAAATGGAGATGGTATCTACTTCACAGAGGGCTGGTAATGGTTAATGGAGATAACTTACGTACCATATTTATCCAAAGTTTGGCACATAGCAATTATTCCATAAGTATTAGCTATTATCTACTGGGAACCTTTTATGTACCCCACACAGTTCTAGATACTTCATTTATTCCTCAGAATAACTAATGGAATGGTCTCATCCTCATTTTAGTTTTCTGAGGCTTAACAGGATTATGTCTCATACGAAAGGCTATACAGCTCCTAAAGATAATGAAAATAAAATTCAAACAAAGCATAACAGACCGAAAGGACCATGCCCCTTTTATGTAATACCATATTGCCCCAACCCCCATTATCATAAATGTTAACTAAGTAAATTTTACTTTCTCAACTAAGTGACTTTTCCTAGTTCAATATTTCCCTTCCCCTCTGCCCCTAAGGGATTTAGAATGACTCCCCCTGCTTAGGGTTCTTAGGCCACCTGGGTTTAAAATAAACTGTAACACATCTTTACACCTGAACATATCTCCCTTAGTCTGTATTTTGAGTTCTGATACAAAACAGATGAACCTACAGCCATTCTGCACACTGGGGCTCTAGACCAAGTGTCTTTGAATTGCAGCAGCACCTAGAGGCTTTCCCTTCATACTTTTCTTTACACATAATCTTACAAACTACATGCTGACAAATATAAGCCCTCTCAAATACTATCTTTAGTTTTTTGAGACGGAGTCACACGCTTTTTGCCCAGGCCAGAACGCAGCGGCGTAATCTCAGCTCGCTGCAATCTCCACCTCCAGGGTTCAAGTGATTCTCCTGCCTCAGCCTCCCAAGTAGCTGGGATTACAGGCATGCACTATCATGCCTGGCTAATTTTTGTATATTTAGTAGAGACAAGGTTTCACCATGTTGGCCAGGCTGGTCTCGAACACCTGACCTCAAGTGATTTGCCAGCCCTGGCCTCCCAAAGTGCTGGGATTATAGGTGAGAGCCACCATCCAGCCTTTTTTTTTTTTTTTTTTTCCCCTGAGACAGGGTCTCACTGTCACTCAGGCTGGAGCACAGTGGTGTGATTACAGCTCACTGCAGCCTCAACCTCTGGGGCTCAAGTAATCCTGCCACCTCAGTCTTCTGAGTAGCTAGGACCACAGATACACACCACCATGCCCTGCTAATTTATTTTTTGTAGAGATGGGATTTCACCATGTTGCCCTGGCTGGTCTCCCAACTCCTGAGCTCAAGCCGTCTCTCAAAGTGTCCAAAGTGTTGGGATTCTAGGCGTGAGCCACCACGCTGGGCCAACAGGATGATTAATTAATGTTGCTGATTATTCCTGTGGTTGAATGTGCCCCCTAGTAAGTATGTGTTGGAAACTTAATCTCCAGTGCAACAGTGTTGAGACGTGGGATCCCTGAGGGGTGATTAGGCCAGGAGGACTCCGCCCACCTGAATAGATTAAAGGAGATTTTAAAAGGGCTTCAGACTGCAAATTTGATATCTTGCTCTCTAGTCTTTTACCATGGAACCAGGCAACAAGAAGGCCCTTGTGAGATGCCAGCACCTTGATACTGGACTTCCCAGCCTTCAGAAATGTGAGAAATAAGTTTCTCTTCTTTATCAATTACCCAGTCTCGGTATTCTGTTACAGCAACACAAAATGGATTGAGACAGTTGACTCAAACATTAATTCTAACTGTACATTTGAGGATATGAAACAGTACATAAGTCCGGCTTAAACAAAAAGTAACATGACATCTTAAGTCTTAGACTACCCATCACTACAGCTGAAATACCTGTACAGCATGTCGGTCTGAACCACTGTAGACAGAGATCTGTGGCTGCTGCATTCGAGAGGAGGAAGTGGTGATGGTGGTGGTGGTGGTACTGCTGGTTGTGGTTGACACAGAAGATGTCCCAGGGTTTGGTTCACTATCCATAACTGTATTATGGTCCTTAAATCTGGCAGGTCACACAAAGGGTTTGTATCGGTAAAAGCATTATCTTACAAGCTTTAAAGAATATTCATTTCAAAGAAATAATCAGCAGCAATCTAAATTGCTAGGAAAGCCCTCATAAAATAGAGCGAGCACATAGTCATTATAAGCACTTACAAGAGAAAATACTTCATATATGGAGCAAATTTAATAGTTAATACCTACTACATTTGAATTCAAATGATTCAGAATATGTAACTCAGATAAAGCATAGCTGAAAGTTTATCTTTGCATTACTGATTTTTTTTTTAAACCCAAACAGGTGATGGGAGAATATTAAACTACCTAGGAAAATAAAAATTTAAGCAGTGTCCCCTCTCCCCTCCTCTTCCCCTCTAACTCTCCGCCCCCTCCACCTGGACTCCCCCATCTCCCTCCCCTCCCCTCCACCTCTACTTTCTCTCCCCCTTTTCTTCCCTCCTCATCCCCCTTCCTTCCCCCTACCCCTCCTCCTTCCCTCCCCTCTCACTCCCCTCACCTCCTTTTTGAAGTAAACTTCCAAACAACTTTCTAGCAGATACCTGTAAGGCTCTTATCGGTTAAAATTTCTGGGCTGGTCGATCGTGGTGGATCACACCAGTAATCCCAGCAACAAAACAAAACAAAAACAAAACAAAAACAAAAAAATTTAAGCAGTGTCAGACTATTTTAAAACATTTCTTTACATTCTTTTGATCACATTAATTACAAAGTAAAGTCATTCTTACCTATACATTAGAACAGAATGCCTAAGGACTCATGTTAACTAGCTTAGTTTCATTTACCATATATACTTTGCCTAAAAAATAAGTTCTTTTTAAAAAAAAAGTTAAAAAGTGCCAGGTGCAGTGGCTCATGCCTGTAACCCCATCACTTTGGGAGGCCGAGGCAGGAGGATCACCTGAGGTAAGGAGTTCAGGTCCAGCCTGGCCAACATGGGGAAACCCCCATCTCTACTAAAAATACAAAACTTAGCCGGGTATGGTGGCAGGCACGTGTCATCCCAGCTACTTGGGAGGCTGAGGCAGGAGAATCCCTTGAACCCAGGAGGTGGAAGTTGCAGTGAGCCAAGATCATGCCATTTCACTCCAGCCTGGGTGACAGACCAAGACTTCATCTCAAAAAAAAAAAAAAAAGGTAAAAAGTACTGTTTTTGTTTTTTAACTCATGCTGGCTTTTCCCCTACTCAGTCAACAATACTGTCCTTATTCCTTCTAATAACTGAGTTATAAGCAAATTGCTGTAAGAACACAGAAAAGCAGTTAACAGCAACTTCTCACATCCTTACAAAATCTTTTTCACAAAGAATTACTCCAGATTTTGAAAATATAAATTATGTCACTTCCTCATGCATGGACAGTACACTTTTATACCAGACTTTCTAATCTTTTCCCTCCAATATTATAATCTAACATTCACTTGTGGTACAAAATTCCACTAAATACAGAATCTGTATTTGAATAAATACAAGCTTTTTTTTTTTTTGAGACAGAGTCTTGCCCCGTCGCCAGGCACCAGGTTGGAGTGCAGCGGCACAATCTCGGCTCACCGCAACCTCCGCCTCCCAGGTTCAAGCAATTCTCCTGCTTCAGCCTCCTGAGCAGCTGGGACTACAGGAGTGTGCCACCACACCCAGCTAAATTTTGTATTTTTAGTAGAGACGGGGTTTCACCATGTTGGCCAGGATGGTCTCGATCTCTTGACCTCGTGATCCACCCGCCTCAGCCTCCCGAAGTGCTGTGATTACAGGTGTGAGCCACCGAGCCCCGCTAAATTCAAGCATTTTAAGTCAATTCTAAGGACCTCCATATTGTTAGGAACCAGAACAGCAGCTGTTTTTGTCGAGTCAGAAATGTATCTCGAAGGTGAAAAGCACACAAAAGATTATACTGGTTTTATCTTCCCTTCCCTTTTCTTTTCTTCTGAGAAACTAAATCCCACCTACCCCACATTAGCAGTACTGACAAAAATGTAACAAAAACACTTTCTATTCTGTGAAAACAACAAATGACTTTGGCACTAATTGGTACACATATACTATTCCCATAGCGTTGCTTTTTTAAGTACAAATTTTCTTTGTTCTATATTATGTATGTAAACAGTACTAATATTCTCTGAAGAACCAAATGTGAAAAGAAAAAAACCATTTAGTAAGAGGAAAAGTGGGGGCCTGGAGTGGTGGTTCACACCTGTCATCCTACCACTTTGGGAGGCCAAAGCAAGAGGACTGCTTGAGCTTAGGAGTTCAAGGCCAGCCTGGGCAACACAGGGAAAGCTTGTCTCTACAAATAAAAAGTAAAAAATTAGGCCTGATGGTGTAGGCCTGTGGCCCCAGCAACCTGGAGGCCAAAGTGAGAAAATCGCTTGAGCCCAGGAGGTCCAGGCTGCCTGCAATGAGCTACCATCGTGCCACTGCACTCCAGCCTGGGCGACAGTGAGACCATGTCACAAATAAAGAAAAAGAAATTAAGATGAAAAGCGAAAGGAAAACCGTCAGGAAGAAAGCTGACTCCTCACTTACTTTTTTGGATTAGTTAATAATGCATACATTTTTATGCTTTTTTTTTTTTTTCAAACTGCCTTCCAATCATCAAATCACAGCATCATATAACTGTTCAACATTATGAAGTATTAGCGGTAAGGTAAATTTTTTACCAAACTGCTGCCTGTCATAATACTACCGTATCATGTACCAGTGACATGCAAAAGGCCAGCTTAGGTTCTGGTCTTTCTAAAGTGTTAATCTGCTCAATCATGCCCTCCAATCCAAACAGTATGGTAAACAGTTCTAACTACTAACCAAAAATGGTCACAGAGAATCCAAATTCTAGGCCTAAGTCTAAACATCGGTGAGTGGAACTGGCCAAACCATTGCACTGCATTTCGAGGCCTGGCACAAAAGAACAATTTGGTAACTCCACCGTCTTTAGGCATACTAATACCTAAATCCAAAATACAGCCAGCAGTGCTGGTGCACAAGAGGCCTACCCAGGAAACAGTAAGTTCTTGAGTCGCCAAGCATACCGTCACATCGACACACAAGAATGTGGCCCGCTTGTGAGGCAGCAACGCTGCAGCCAGAAACTCGAGGGAAAGATCTTCCTTTCAGGGTGTTTTAGCCTCACCAGACCTGCAGCAGCCCCCGCCACTCTCAGGCCCACGCTGGGACACCTCCTGCAAGCCTCCGGCACGAGGGCGGCAAGCAGCCCCACGTCTCGGGTTCTCCCGCTGAGGAGGAGTGGGGTGGCGCCGGGGCGGGAAGGAGAAGAAGGCGAAGGAGGCCTTGCAGTGCCCGCCCTGCCCTACCCAGCCTCCGCGGGCCCCCGCGCAGGCAGCTGTAACAAGGCTGCCCGCGGGGCCCACTTGCAGGAATGACAGCGCCTGAGGAGCCCACTCGGGCTCGTTCCCCGGAAAACCCCAGCTGCCGGGGCCCCAAGGGTGACCCTGCGCGCAGGGCCGTGCAGATCCGGGACCTAACGGCGGAACGGGCGCTTCTGTCTGGAGGGTAACTGGACCCTTGGAGTTCGCCTCCGCCCCCCGACACGGGCTGAACAGGCTCCTCCACGGTAAGACGGGTCTCGAGTCTCTCTTTCCCCACACTGCCCGCGAAAGAGCCCTGAACTTTCCCCTGGGGGACGTGTCGCTGCCCTAACTCGCCCCCCCTAGTTACGACATCAGTCACCATCAAGTCACTCACTCCGCTTCCGCCATCTTCTCTCCTCCATCACTAACGTGGGCTGCGCATGCGCCCCCCAAGCGGCAGGAGAAGGGGCAGACGGAGGGGCGGGGTCGGCTCAGCCCGCGGCGCCCGAGGTCACGTGGGGTACTCAGCTTCCAATCGCCCACGCCCACCGCAGGAATTGCTCTCTCTGGAACACCTGATTTCACAACGCTTTCCGTGACCAGATTTCCCCAATTTAGATACCAATGTCTCCTCACCAACCCCTCGCTTTCTCTTGTCCAGGATCTTATTCCTCTTGGGGAGGGGTCTGTAATAAATAAATAAAAAGTTCTTAGATTGTTCAAATTTTTAAAATATCTATGGGCTCGGTGGCTCACCTGTAATTCCAGTACTTTGGGAGGGCGAGGAGGATCTCTTGATGCGCAGAGTTCAGGACCAGCCTGGACAACAAAGCGAAACCCTGACTCTACCAAAAAAAATAACAATAATAAAAATTTTGGGCCTAGCACAGTGGCTTACACCTGTAATCCCAGCACTTTAGGAGGCCGAGGCGGGGCGGGGGGGGGGGGGGGGAATCACCTGAGGTCAGGAGTTCGAGACCAGCCTGGCCAACATGGTGAAACCCCATCTTTACTAAAAATATAAAAATTAGCTGGGCGTGGTGGTGCGCGACTTTTAATCTCAGCTACTCAGGAGGCTGAGGATGGAGAATCGCTTGAACCCGGGAGGCAGAGGTTGCAGTGAGCCGAGATCACACTACTGCTCTTCCAGCCTAGGCCACACAGCAAGACTCTGCCTCAAAACAAAACAAAACAAAATAAAACAAAAAAAATTTTTTTTGAAGAATATCTAAAACCTACCAAAGCCCACGCAAACTGCAGAGTGGTTTCAAAGAAAACACCCACAAGGATTAGAGGCTGAGGTCTCAGAAGGAAAGGAAATTCAGTGCTGCCTACATGGCCTGTTGCCTGGAAGCTTTGGAGATTGAGGGACCCAACCAGCAGTGCCTCTCTCCAGCTCAAAGATAATGTTCAGCTGCCAGTGAATGAGTAGTTAAGGAATCATCCTGACTACCCTAGGCACAGCATTTCAAAGCTCAATACTTAAAACAGCTAACACTTGTGATGCCTTTTATCAAGTGTGAAGGATTTCCATAAAACTCACTTGTTGATCTTCACAATAACTCTGTGATACAGTTATTATGATTCCCATTTAGCATGGAAGTGTAGTGAGGCTCAAGGTAATTAAGTGCCTCTGTTGACTGCTAGCATGTACCAGAAATGGAGTTCAAATTTAAGGTCGCCATCTCCAAAGCCGTTTTCTTCACTACATCATTCAGCAAGCCACTAGAAAAACATTAAAGGGGACAAAGTATGATGAAAGTCTATTCTCAAGAAACTTAGCCGCCAGGCATGGTGGCTCATGCCTATAATCCGAGCACTTTGGGAGACTGAGGCAGGGGGATCACCTGAGGTCAGGAGTTTGAGACCAGCCTGGCCAACATGGTGAAACCCCGTCTCTACAAAAATACAAAAATTAGCTGGGCATGATAGTGGGTGCCTGTAATCCCAGCTACTCAGGAGGCTGAGGCAGGAGAATCCCTTGAACCCAGGAGGTGGAGGTTGCAGTGATCCGAGATCACACAATTGCCCTCCAACCTGGGTGACAAAGCGAGACTCCATCTCAAAAAAAAAAGAAACTTATCATTAATTGATCAAACTGAAGAAAGTATTTTACCTCTATCATTTCCTAGGGAAAAAAATGTATATAGTACTCTAGCAGGTTGAACATTCTCAAATTTTGCAGGAACTTTTACGTTGGAAAAGTACAAAGATCCTATTTTATTTTAGAAAAAAACCCTCTAGCTTTGTGAAGGATGGACTGGAAGAAAGTGTAATTGGGAAGACGATTAGTTGGGAAACTGTGCATTAATCCTTACAGAAATGATAAGGGTTAGGGGAATGAAAGAGAAGATTAAATTAAACTTTTAGTTCCATAGGCACATTTCAAGTGCTCAATAGGCACATACAGCTAGTGGCTGCAATATTGGACAGTACAAACATAGAACATTTCCATCATCACAAATAGTTCTATTGAACAGCACTGGTCTGGTCTCTTAATTAGGGGTTACCAAACAACAGCCCACAAACTAAATCTAGCCTGCAACTCCCTTTTTACGGCCTGCAAGCTAAGAATGGATTTTTACATTTTCTAATAATCAAAAAAGAAATCAAAAGAATCATGTTGTGACACCTGTGAAATTTATGGATTTCAGTGTCCATAAATATGGTATTATTAGAACACAGCCACATTGTTTTATGTATTAGCTGTGGTTGCTTTTATGCTATAAGAGCAGAGTTGAATAGTTGTGACAGACACCATGATGGCCAACAAAGTGTAACCTATTTACTATCTAGCCTTTTTTTTTTTTTTTTTTTTGAGATCAGGTATCACTCTGCTGCCCAGGCTGGAATGCAGTGGCGCGATCACAGCCCACTACAACCTCCGCCTCATGGGTTCAAGCGATTCTCCTGCCTTAGCTTCCCAAGTAGCTGGGACTACAGGTATAAGCTGTCCCGTCCAGCTAATTTTTGTATTTTTTGTAGAGAAAATACAAAAAATACAACATGGTTTTACCATGTTGGCCAGGCTGGTTTCGACTCCTGATCTCAGGTGATCTGCCCACCTTGGCCTCCCAAAGTGCTGGGATTACAGGCATAGGCCACTGCACCTGGCCCTATCTAACCTTTTAGAGAAAAAGTTTTCGAACGACTATTCTACATCACTGAACACCCTGCACTGGGTTCTTTCAGAGTAGTTAATAGAGCATAATACAACACACTGTTGTATGCCTCCATTGGACCACGATTGCTCTTACGGATCCAATGTGATGAGATGAAAGTCCAGCAGCCCTAGATTGAAATGCTGAGCTCACTCCTTTACCAAATGAGCCACCTTGGGTAAATAATTTAATGGCTTCAAGTTGTTTTTTTGTTTTGTTTTTATGAGATGGAGTCTCACTCTGTCACCCAGGCTGGAGTGCAGTGGCATGATCGTGGCTCACTGCAACCTCCACCTCCTGGGTTCAAGCAATTCTCCTGTCTCAGCCCCAGGAGTAGCTGAGAATACTAAAAATAAAGAGTAGCTGGCAGGAGTAGCCACCTGCAAGCACGCCTGGCTAATTTTTGTGTTTTTAGCGGAGACGGGTTTCACCTTGTCGGTCAGGTTGGTCTCAAACTTCTGACCTCAGGTGATCTGCCTTAGCCTCCCACAATGTTGGGATTATAGGTGTGAGCCACCACACCCGGCCCAAGTTTTATATTACAATGTAAAGAAAAAAGGGGATGATAATACCTCACACGATTGTTGTAGAGTTTTTTTTTTTCTTTTTCTTTTCTTTCACAACGTGTTAAAGTACAAACCATGATTGTTGTAAAGTGTTAAAAAGTCTAATAAGTTCCCTTTTTCTTTTTTTCATTTAATATTTTTTAGAGACACAATCTTGCTATGTTGTCCAGGCTGGCTGGAGTGCAGTGGTTCCTCACAGGCATCAGCATAGCTCAGTGTAGCCATGAAATCCTGGGACTCAAGTAACCTTCCTGCCTCAGCCTCCCAAATAGCTGGAACTACAAGCACTCACCACCATGCACCTTTTTTTCTCTTTTTAACTTTTTTTTTTTGAGACAGAGTTTCGCTCTTGTTACCCAGGCTGGAGTGCAATGGTGCGATCTCAGCTCACCCCAACCTCCGCCTCCTGGGTTCAGGCAATTCTCCTGCCTCAGCCTCCTGAGTAGCTGGGATTACAGGCACGCGCCACCATGCCCAGCTAATTTTTTGTATTTTTAGTAGAGACGGGGTTTCACCATGTTGACCAGGATGGTCTCGATCTCTTGACCTCGTGATCCACCCACCTCGGCCTCCCAAAGTGCTGGGATTACAGGCTTGAGCCACCACGCCTGGCTCAATCAGCTTTAAATGCTTGTTGAGAGAATGAAGACTTGAATATTTGGTCGAATAAGACAAAATTTCAGTATAGCCTATAAATTTGAATGACACAGTAGACTTGCTTTCTCTTTCATACTCTAAAATCAAATGGTTTTTTTTGTTTTGTTTTGTTTTGTTTTTCTCACTCTGTCACCCAGGCTGGAGTGCAGTGACCTAATCTTGTCCTTGGCTCACTGCAACCTCCACCTCCCAGGCTTAAGCAATTCTTTTGCCTCAGCCTCCCAAGTAGCTGGGATTACAGGCTAATTACAGGCTAATTAGCCACACCTGGCTAATTTTTATATTTTTAGTACAGATGGCGTTTCACCATATTGGCCAGGCTGGTCTCAAACTCCTGACCTCAAGCCATCCACCCGCCTCAGCCTCCCAAAGTACTGTGATTGCAGGCGTGAGCTACTGCGACTGGACATAAAGCAAATTTTATTGAAACTGAAAACATATTCCCTAGTCATACTACCTCTCACCTACTTTTGCAGTAGATCGGTATGTTAATCTTATGCTTATCAGTCTTATCTTCCTTTGTATACCAGTGGGCGGCACTGTACACAGTTGGCTGTATCTTCTTCGGTGCTGAAGAGTGGAAACATACAGCATTAAAGTTGGAAGGGACTTTTGAATTGATGTGACCCATGCTGAAGAAGAATCCATGGCAAAAGCAGAATCAGAACTCTGACTTCCTATCCTCCCATTCCAGAATTTTTTGCTGAGTGCCACAAGGCCTCACTACAAGTGTGTAGGTGCTCAATAAACACTTGAAGTTGCTGTACTCCCTCATTTCCATTCTGCTGTTATGCTTAGTATCTGCTTAGCATTGTGGCAGTTTAGAAGCACTGTTGTAAAGCAGGGCTTTAGAATCAGGCAAAGTAAGACTAGAATCCTGACTCTACCATGCATTAGCTCTGTGACCTCTTACAATCCTATCAGTTCCACCTTCAAAATATAACCGTGTCTCTGGCCACACCACCGTAAACATGCATGAATTCCTCAAAACACAAACAAACCTGACACTACTTACTACCCTCACCATTATCAGCCTGAGCCAAGACACAATTTC